GTCATCTGCCCTTGTTCTAGATACCTGAATTTGTCCCCAGCAGGTTTTGTAGTCGTGGTTTTTCTTACCACAACGAGTACAATTGCCATCCCGCTTTCTTTCATCGATAGTTGACTGAGGGATTCCTTCATGGGCAGTTTTGAAGTTTGTGTGTGTTAACTTCGTAGTTCCAGCAGATTTCTTTACCGGTTTATTGGTTTCCGGTCCCCGTTTCCTTTTCTTGAAAGGACCACCTCCTTTTATGAAGGGTTTCTCCCTTTTTATTTGAATTTTGTCCGTAGGTTTCTTATCTGAAGACGTCCTTACAGGTTTTGATTTGTCCCGGTCCAGGTGGTCCCGTTCCTGTTGTTCCTCCTCATCCCTTCCTGCTTCCCGGACTGCTTTTTCCCATTCGGCATCGGTATCAAATTTGTTTAAGGAGAGTGGCCACCTAATCTTGGAGGGCAATTTCCTATCACATGCTATTCGCCAGGCTGGTCCCGTTAATCGGGCGTGGAGATTAAGATTATGCATTTTCCCCATGAGGGTCTGAATATCGTTTTTGTACTCCACAGATTCCATATCCCGTATGGCCTTTCGTCCTTCTTCGAGAGGGGCGTATCGACTAGTGAATTTGTGCTCAAAGCGAGTCCAGGAAGATAGTTCCGGATCTTGTTCTTCTCCTCGGAGACCATCCATTGCGCGTCAGTACCATACAGCTATTGGACTGACCTGATCCCCTTTTGTTCTTCCCAAGGCGTAAATGATGCGTTCTCGATCATCATCCCAGATTCTTGGGTTCCGTTCGAAGTAGTCTACACATTAGGTTAACCAATGGTAAATACATTGACTGGCCTTTGCTTCGAAAAATGGGGGCAGGTCTGCCGGTCGTTTAACTGTTTGAGCCAATGCTTCTGCAAGTACATCAGCTGTTCCACGCTGTTCGTGGGTTAATCCCCGTTTGAATCTGAATGGCCCTCCTCCACGTTTTCCTTTGTTTCCATCGTCATCTTCATCATCACTTCCATCATCCGGGTCACCACTCGGTATTAGAAAGGTTAGAGGTTCTCCTTCTCTTTGTTTCCCCTTGTCTCGAGAAGGGATTTCTTCAGGTTCCCCCTGTTCTGCAGTCTCTTCCCATTCCTCTGGGACTGGTTCCAACAAAGCGTGCCGACCACCTGGTTGTCCGCTATCTAGTGCCTTAAGCTTGTTAAGAACTAGTGATAGGGTATCGGATATGTGGGTTTGGTCCTTTTGGATGGTACGGGTAAAGTCACTATACCGTTCTGAGTCCCTATCTTGCCTTGCAGCCAAATTGGATATCAGGGTTCACATTGCGGTATTTTGCTAGGTCTGTTGTGCTCTGAACTCTTGGAAGGCACGTTCCAAGGTGAGGTCTCGTTCTAGAGCTTCTCACTGCAGTTGGGTGGTTACTCCTTCGTGATGTTCTTGCAGTGCATCTTGTGCAGCTAACTTGGCGGCAATTTCCCTATTGATCCTTTTTTGGATTTCTCGAACATTTGCTTCTACCATTGCACACTGACGTAACATAATAGCAATGTCATTGTCATGTATATCTTGTCCTTCCAACAATCGTTGCTGGACAGCTATCAGTCCTCGTGCATTGGTTTGAGAATCTGCTGATAGCGTGTCAAATGCAATATTGGCAGTATCAATACTGGTTGATATGTCTTGTCGGATTTAACCTATGACAATTCCTACCCTAGCGGCAAGTCTTGCGAGAATTGCTGCATGGGTATTTGGACGTGGTGTAGTAGATCGTGAAGCAGGAGAAGGGGCTCTTGAGGATGGAGGGACACTGTGAGCCCTGCCCTCTTGTCCTCCAATAGGTTTCCGAAGAGCGGGAGGAAGTGAGGAAGAGTGGCTGAAACTTGTAGAGTGATCATCTCCTGAGGTATCCATTGGTTCTCCTGGGAGGATCTGCTTAGGAGGTTGAGCCATCTCTCTTGCTCGTTTGCGAGCTTCTTTTTCTCATAGGCAGGCTATGAAGCCCGCGTTTTGGGACGTTTCCGTTTAAGTAGAATATGTGGCGGGACACTTGGTGTCCTGGCCGCGTCGTGCAGTAGGAGGAGATAGATTTTAATGAGAGTTCAGATGAGTTCCGAGTCTCCACACTAGCGGTATAGTAGCAGAGAATCTGCTGCTAAGAGAACTTTTCTCGCTGGTATCCCAGTCAAGGAAGAGTTTCCAACTGAATTCTGGTCCGTACCAGGTTTCGTATATCTTTTGGAATTGTTCCTCCGTAGGAACTAGGTTGGGGTCGGTATACTACGAAGGCGCTTCTTGTAACAGAAATGGCACTTCTGAAAGCTCGAACTGGCTAGAAAACACTTGACCAATAGATGGTAAGTGAATCTTAGTCGGTGGTTCGAAAATTGAATTGGTTCGGGATAGTTCTCCACTGGTATCTAGGCCGACCGTAGTATTAAGTACTTCACTGAAAGTGTGAATCGAACACATGCAAGTGGTAACCGATTAGAGAGCCTTGGTAACAAGGAGATCTAACAATATACTGTTAGGCGGAGGCAACCCGATAGACTTCAGAGTTGTCTAGGCCGATAGAGATTCGTTTTTATAGATGGAGATTGTCTAGGAAGGCTCAGACTTCACTCGTTTCGTTTATAACTACTAAGAGCGGAGTAAAGTAAAGTAAAGTAAAGTGAAATCGTAAGAACAATATTATATTGTTAAGGTCTCTTCTCCGTTGCTTGATGATGTCTAAAGCTTGGGAGGCACTTCGATATTTATATTCCGCGTCTGAGTATTCGCGGACTACATCTAACTAACATACAACCATGTACCTTTTTCCAATATAACTCGCAACGTCAGGTTTTCTTCCAAGGTGCGAACACCTGGAGACCCTGAAAATCATCACACCCTCTTTGATAATTATAATATGACTATTTGGAAGTCATACTGTTTCCAATAGTAATTATCCGATGGTGAGAGTCTCTTTTAGACAAATGGCCCAATTCTCAAGTCGAACTGTGTTGGCTCCAATCGTCTCCCTTGTCGATGAAATGATCAGTTTCATCTGCGGGTTGCATCTGCGAAGATAGTTGTTATTACCGACTTTCTAGGTCATCTAACTTCAACTCTTCATAACTCTATACCCAACCGATAGATCTTTTCCGGAGGACTTCCTACTTTCCTGCAGGAAGCCTTTCCATAGGGGTGGTAGATAATCTCTCGGTCGGTAACCCTTGGTTACCGTGGGTAACGGTATTCTGGTTACTGTCACCGGTTTGGGAGTCACCCCCTCAGTTGCAGTATGTACCGGAACCTAGTTGTAACACTCCTCGAACTCCATTGGGTTCGATGGTAGTATTCTTAGGAGTTCCAGACTCTTCTGGTTATTGTAGGGTGGATGTGAATGTATTGGTCTTTCATTAAGATCCTTTACTATTCATTATCATCTCTTTGCGCAAAAACGTCCCGTTACTTGCGGCCTATGCCAAAGATATCTCATTCTTGAAGCCTAGTAACTTTCTGGGTAGTTGACGGATTCACTCCGTTATACTTCCCAGACCTAGCCGAAGGTCCCCTCTTATATATCCTGCGAACAGGATCCGGTCGGACGGACGGCGGCGACGTATACGGTATTACTTTAACACTTTCGATTCTGTGGTATAATACTCACAGGACGCAACTTAGATCAATATGTATGATGACGCGCGGGCCCCGTAAGGGGGCCGGAGGGAGGTGTTGGAGACCTGAGATTTCGATTTCGGGAGAGGTTACCCTACCTAGAGTGGTTCCTAGGTATCGGATCTCAGTATTCCTAACAACTACTCTATGGAGGTAGACAAGTTCTCTAGAGTTGGGAACTCAGGTATTGGAAAAGAAAATTTTCTTCGGTTTTTGTTCCCAGCTTGCGATAACATCTTTGCTTCTAGCAAACAACTTTCTATGAAGATCTTTGAAGCAACTGGTATATGGCCTTTAAACCTGCTAAAGTACAAGATTGCTTTCCACCTCCACCTCCAAGACCTTGGCAACCTCCGCACTATGAAAGAGCAACAGAAAGCCTGACCAGAAACCTGGAATTAAAGCTTCGAAACTTGGCTACAGATAATAGGGTTCTTACTACTGGTGAAGATTTGCCTATAGTTCAAGCTGCTGATGAGCTCGTCCACTTAAGCTCTCAGGTAGTGCAACTACAAACCAAGCTAGCTTGTAAGGAGGTGGAACTGGAGAAAGCTATGATGGAGCTTGAGCGGATAAAGGACACTGAGGTTGACAAACGAGTGCTTACCAAAACCTGACTTTGTACTACTGAATATCTTGCTCAGAGGAAGAGAGAGAGAGACAAGGGTAAAGGGATAAAAGATACTACAGATGGTGGAATCACGGTTGAAAATAGAGATAATAGGAGGGGGTATGGAAAGGATACCAACTGGGCAGGTATGGGGGAGGACCAATATGCAGGTGCAAATGCTAAGAGGAGGCGCAAAGTAGGACAAACTAATGGCCGCAGTTATGCGGAAGGGCAGGCAAGTGGTATACAAGTACCTCTTGCTTCTGGTAGTCAAGGGATTTGCTTGGGTCATTTCAGTTCTTTGGTTTAATGTGAATATGAGTGTAAATAGTATAATTGCTCATGCATGAGCATCCAGAGATCCTTTTCTCTGTTGTTTCACTACACAAGTTCTGGAAATCTATTAGTACTGCTTCTGATTGGCTACTAACTCTCCTTCTTTTAGCCAATAAGAACTATTTGCCACCCACCTGTATATTTGGAGAGGGTGTATATTTCCCTGTCCCGCGATCGTACGGTGCTCTAACAGCCATCCGCCGAGGCACCATTGTCCCTACTCAGAATAGCCACAGAGCACTCGATTGGCTTGGCCACTACTGGTTTCTTGGCACGGGAGGAGTCATACGTACGAGTATGATACAATACATTTGGTAGCCGCACTGCTCCGGGATATATTTGTTACGGCACATTAGAGTTGATACTCAAGAATTGCACCCCACCGTTTGCAAATCCGAGCAATAGCATGGGCACTCCCGGTGGTCCCGTTCTCGCCCAGCACCCGGGAATCGTATGCGATGGATGTGACAGGGGGCTGGTAGGCCCCCGATATAAATGCGTACAATGCGCAGACTACGACTTGGTAACTAGACATTCAATCCAACTAGAGCCCCATCTACCCCATACATACATCCAAGCTAACCGCAATACATATAAATAAAACGTAGTGCGCAATCTGCGAAGGTGAACTCTCTGAACAAAAATTCCACGATACCAGCCACATCTTCGTCAAGATTAGGAATTCCTCGGGCCCGGATTTTCCAGGGGTGGTCCTCGCGGGGCCGATAACACACCCGGCACATCCACCACCCTGGGACAGTCCAAGAGTAGATCTACCGGCCGCGATCAACAGCTTCGGCTTCAACTTGCACAAGGCCCTGGATGGGTATACTATCTGCCCCGTAAACGTCTTCTCCGCACTGCTCATGGTGGCGAACGGCGCGGGTGGTGACACCCTAGCTGCGATCCTGAGAGCTCTGAATTTACCACTAGTCCGTGCCGATGAGATTACCGGCCTGGACGCGCAATATGCACAGCTGGAGGCCCGCATCTTTGGGGGGGCGGGCGGGGAGGGGATGGATATCAAGACTGCCAGCTCGATATGGTACCACCGAAACCTCCAGCCCCTCCCGCAATTTGTGGAGAAAATGAGGGCGTATTTCAACAGTTCCTCGGGGCCCATAAATGCCGTAGGGATCAACGAGTTCATCCGCGCCAGGACTCTCGGTAGGGTTACCACGAACTACAGCCCCACATCTTTCAAGGACTCCACGCTCGTGCTCATTGCATGCTTCTTCCTCAAAGCAGCTTGGGAGATCCCCTTTTTGAGGGCCGACTCTCCGAGTTCGCGCTTCAGGCACTTCTCGGGAGGGTACGAGCAATACACGTCCATGCACCAAACAGCGCACTTTGACTACTTGGAGGGCGAAGCCGTTCAGGTTGTCTTTCTGAACTACAAAGCCCCAACAGGAAAGTCACACACACCTTGTCAATGGACCGCAGCGGTACTCCTCCCCAAGTCACCAACTAGAGCCGCCCTGCAAGTGGTCCTAGGGTCCCTCACTTCCGACTCTTGGGCACAACTACGTAACGATGTGCGCAAGTCGAAAGTCCATTTGTCCCTCCCGCGCTTCGAAATCTGCGAGAATATCGACCTTGCCGAGGCATTGACGCGCAAGGCCTCCCCCGTCGATATCTGCCCTGCGTTCACCAACGCTGCCGAGTTCCCTAGGATTAGCGGTACGCCTACAAAGGTGTCCGGCGTGGAGCATATGACGCTTTTGAAGGTCGACGAGTTGGGGTCTGAGGTTGCGGCGGCGACGGTCGTCAAGACGACGTTTGGAGCAGCGCAGGGGGAGGTTCATGAGATGGTGGTGGACAGGCCGTTTTTGTTCCTGGTTTTTGAGAGGGGTTCGGGATTGGTGGTTTGCTCTAGTCTTGTGGAGAGCTTGCGGGGGCCAGATATATAAATTGGTTCTTTCTCTAATGGCTTCATGTAGTATCACTCGGGGACTGAAAAATGAAGATAGGAATGTTGGGTGTAAGGATCAAGCCTAATTTGGTGCTTGAGCGAGTATCCTAGTGGGGGGGATTAGAGTAATTTTCAGAACTCAGAGGGATGCTGGCTGCTCCATCGATACCGTGCCCCACATGTTCCCGATCAATGGACCTCCAAATCTAAGTAAAAGTGGCAACCACAGGGTATGACACTAGGCGAACAGAGGAACACCAATTGCACAATAATCTGAAAAGAAAAAAGAAAAAAAAAAGCCAGCCACAATATATATATAACCCCCCCTCGAGATCAAGTGGGCGAACCAGTCTCAAGTTTGCACCAAACTCAGTATAATACACCCACTGCACATACCCTCACAAGGAAAGAATATCTCCCATCGCCAATCTATTTCTTCGGAATAGAATGCCGCTGCGCAAAGATATACCCTCTAATCTTCGTATCCTTGAGTAATTCCATATACCTCTCTGCACCCCGCGCCCACCCCACCACCTATTAGCTCCTTCCGCCCCCCGGGTGCAAAAAGGACTTCTGAAACCCACCTCTCAAAACCCCACACCTGGCAAGGTGATTAACCCCCTCCCTTCGATAACACTTGCTCAACTCCTCGCGCACGAGTCTCGCCATCATCATGCGGACCCATTGCTCACGGATGATGGCGTCCTGGGCCGCCTTGAGCGCGGTGTTGTCCTCGTAGTCGACGCCGTCGAAGGTTGGCGGGACGGTGGGCTTTTTGGCAAGGAACGCGGCGGATTCGGGGGTTGGCATTTCTTTTGTTGTTGTTTGTCGTTAGTTCCTGGGTGAGCTTTAGTTTTTCTTGCCAGCTACTTGGATGGACTGGAACGGGGGCAAACGATTGACGATTCTGGGTATATCGATTGAATGTTTGCAGTGGGGGCGGGAGATGGGGTTTGTGACGTTTGAAATGGGGATGTTGGGAGAAATGTAGATTCTTAGTCATAGATTTAGTAAGCGAGATAAAAGATTTTGAAGATAAGGAACTGTGGGATTCTTAGGGAGCTCTTCATCAACATATCCTTCGCAACCAACAGCAGTTTGATACCCAACTTCCCTCCCTCCCTCCAGTTCAAACTTTTTCGGCCACTGCTCTCCGGAGAAGAAAATAATGCCATTCCCTTACACCCTCCCCACAACCTCTACAATCTCCTACCCAACCTACTTCGAATCCCCCCTCTACCCAACTCTCCCACTAGCCACCTCCTCCCACCGCGGCTCCCTCCGCAACGCCCTAAAGGCACACAAGCGCCTACCCACAGCTTCACAAGCCTCCAACATTCCCTTCATAATCAAGCTGTTAGAAAGCTACCTCGCACACCTGCTAACTCTCTACGACACCCTCACCGCCGGCGACGCTTTTCCCAGAGAGGGCGCTCCAAGGCTCACTACCAGCTGGCGCACGGTTCTCAGCGCAAGGAGGGTAACGGCAAAGGAACCACCGAGGGTGGCGAGACCGGGACTCAGCTATGAGATATTTTGGAGTATAAGCACGCTAGGTTACGCCTACACGCTACTCGCGCGGTCACAATTGCAAGGGATTCTAGCTCCCCCTTCGTCTAACACCACAAGCGGGAGTACTACAGACGCAACTGCAGCAGCAAACTCCTTTAACCAGGCAGCGGCAAACCTCTTCACCTCCGCCTCCATATTCCAACACCTCCTCACCCGGCCTCTCCCCCCACACGCAAGTTCCTGGCCACCAGACTTATCGCCGCAGGTTCTCTCAGCACTCAGCAGCATCTCACTATCTGCGGCGACCCTCAGCGCGGTTACAAAGCAAGACCCATACCCAACGTACCTGAGCACCATAGCGATCGAGAAGAAGAAACAGCAGAAGGGTAAAGAATGGCTGTACAACCCTCCCGCACCCCCCGCCGGCGTGCGCGCTCTGCTGATAGCGAGATTGTGCATTGCCGCATCGGACCATGCGGCAAAAGCATTGGGACTACTATCCACAGCGGAGAAAACGGACGCGGGGGAGATTGGCGAGGAGTTGTTGAGGTACGCGGGTTCGCTTCAGAAGGTTTCTAGGGCGAAAGCTTGTCGCTTCCTGGGCATAGATGCCGAGGCTGCGGGAAGGGTCGGGGAGGGTATTTCTTGGATCAGGGGTGCTAAGACCATTCTTAACGCTTCGGGTTCGGCGAGCTCTGTGGGGTCGTTCGTAGGGGATCGGTTACGAAGGAAAGATGATGTCTGGGGAGCTGATGCTGGGAGGGTAGATGAAGAGAAAACACTGGATGCGCTAGAGGGACGGTGGAAGAAGTTGAACGATAGTGTGATGTTTCAGAAATGTCCGGATTTGGAGGAGTTGATGGGTAGAATGCCGACCGGGAGGGAGCTTCATCAGAGTATTAAGAGTTGGGAACCCCCCAAGTTGGGGGCTGATGAGTTGAGGGCTTTGAGGGCTGCTGGAGACTTGGGCGCAGAGGTGGTGATCGAAGAAGAGGATAGTGAGGAGGAGGGGGTGGGGGTGGAAGACGGGGGGGATTACGCAGGAAGAGGGGGGTATTATTAGGGGCGAGATACCAAGTGTACTATATCCGATTCCACAGATGATACCAGTAATGATATTATGAAAAGTACGGCACTAGTACACTGTTTTTATTAAGGTATAATGCTATAGCTAGACTAAATCGCAACGTACAAACAATCGACCTATCATACAGCACATGCAAGCTCATGAAAGCACCATCGTAACTCAAACCAGCTGGAGCAAGATAAAACCCCAGCTATCGTACAATCACCCAAACGCCTTGCGGTAGCATCATGAAAAGAAAGCGAAGCCAGCGAAAAATTTCCCAAGAAACGATCAATCAAGCATTCAACCTCCCCCCAAACTTCGACGCCTTGCCCGCTGCAGTTCTTGCCCCGCGCCTCTTCTTTTCAATCGGTGACTTAATCCTCTCCTCCTCATCTTCCTCATCATCCCCTTCTACCCCTACTTCAACCTCAGACTCAGGAACCTCTAACACCTCTGGACTGCGAGAAACATGCTTACTCCTCTTCTTCCCAGGCCCCGCTATTGCCACTGCAGCGGTTGTAGTCGTGCTCGGCCCCTTGCCACCAAAAAAATCTCTCTTCCGATGCTCTCCAGACAGATCCACAATAATCCTTGGCCCCCCCTCCTCACTACCCCCTGTGCCACCGGCAGACTTCCTCTTCCGTGAATTTGTAGCACCAAACACGCCCAATTCCGGACTAACATCCCTCTTATCAACGGCGGTTCCCTGATCCCTCTGCTGCACAGCCGGCTGCCCACCCACCGCCGCCTCGACATGCGCCTCGACAAAGCCAACCCTCTGTGCCAACCCGTCGAGCAGAGCAAGTTTGCTCTCCAACCTGTCCAACAACTCGATCTTATCCTGTACCCCCTCGCGAACCTCTTCAATCTCGCCAGGGCTGTCGAGGTCAACGTCCACTTTTGCGGCAGCAGCAACCCTTTTGAGGCCCCGGACAATATCACTCTGTTTCTCGTGGAGCATCACACACATTGTCATCACTCTGTCGATGTTTTCCGCGGTGGATTCCGGGAACGGGTGAAGGTGAGTGTACATTTCTTGAGTTTGGGCGGGAGGAAGAGAAGGGGTTCGCGAGGAGTGGTGGTAGAATGAGAGAGATGTTAGGGGAAGGGTGTATTTGTTTCTGAGAGCTTGTTAGTTGCTATACGGTAAAGCAAACCGCAGGAATTGGAGGGGGAGACTGACTGGAGAGTGGATAGTTTTGCAGTAGTCGCCATATACATCTTTCCCAGAGTGATTTCGCATTTTCCACAGGTGATATTTTTGTAATTGCTAGGTAAACAATTAGCACAAACTCACTCGCCTACCAATTCCTAGTCAAATAGGAATAGAGAGAAAAAACAAACCAAAACTCATCCCACTCCCCCTCATGACTCGTCTTCAACCCCCCCTCCCCGACAACCACCGAGACCATTGAACCAAGAGTAATAGTCCCCATCTGTCTTGTGGCGTACAAAAACGCAGAACTATCCCCAACAATACGCTCACAATTTGCACAAGAGACTGTGACAGGCGAGCACTCCATTTGGTCAATCTCAGCGCCGTTGCTTTCGCCGTCTTCGTTTGGGAGGGAGAAGTAGGGTGACAATTCGCGGGAGGGATTGTTGTTATCGCCTCTGGCTTGAGGGTCTGGTGATGGCATTGCAATATAATGTGTTCTTCTATTTTTCTCTTTTCCCTTGTCTGTTTGATCAGTCGGTGTTGGGAGGAGGGTGGTGGGGGAGGAAGGTGGGGAGGTGGTAATTAAATTAGGATGGATGTTTGTCTATGTATGAGGACTTAAGACGGGAAGACGCGACGAGTGCTCATGAAATCTTGGCACCCCCGTTTGCGGCTCTTTTTCGTGTCACCCTGATTATGATACTCTCAAGAAGGCCCTGAACTGTGGAACAGCATCAATCACATCGCCATGACGATATAGACTATAACCCCAACTCAACTGTAGAATGCAGGGCACAGCAGGGAAGACAAACAATACCTATCATTATGATACTTGCACGGTCACTTGAGTAAGGTATGCTATACCAGGCACAAGCCCTCTTCTTTTACAACACAAAACACTTGTATCTTACGGCACAGAGAAGAGATTTCGTCTAAATACGATGAAAACTGCCTTAAAGGGTACAAGAATGAGGGTGAAAATACAGACAAAAAAAAAAAAAAAAGCTAACAAAACGAAGGAGCAAAAAGGGAAATGAAATCGAAAATCGGAAGTGAAAATTGAAAGTGAGAAAGAGAACTTTTAAACATGAAGACAAAAGGACAATCACCCCACTGCTTATAAAAAAGGTAAAAAGCGAAGAGCAACGAAGAGCCTGGATAGAACACATGACCCGATAAATTTACATTTTGTTTGAATTTCCCCTCATTTTAACCAAGCTTTTTGATCTCTCTCACCCTCACTTTCAAATCCCACAGCCCAGTTCATTACGTTGATTGATCAATAATGAAAGACTCGTAATTTCGTTCCCTCGATGGACCCCCCTTTTGAACCTTCACGCCTTTTTTACTCTTGATTTAATAGGAGCCATCAGGCTTAGGTGCACCTCCCTCTGAGTCGTCTGAACGTTCCTCGAAGGTCTCCTCTTGTGTAGGGGGTGAAGGAGACGCCATAGGATCCTCAAAGCCGGCATCCTCAGGGACGGCATTCCCATAGGCGGTATTCTCAGGGACGGCATTCCCATAGGCGTTATTCTCAGGGACGGCATTCCCATAGGCGTTATTCTCAGGGACGGCATTCCCATAGGTGTAATTCTCAGGGACGGCATTCCTGCGGCCAGAGTTCCTCTGGTCTGAGAAGTCGATGCGGAGACGGCGACCAAACACCTCAACACCAGCCAACTTCTCCTTGGCCTGGACCGCCGAATCAATGTCAACAAAGTCAGCGTGAGCGAAGCCACGGGGTTGCCCGGTAGCGCTAGTTAAATCGTAAGCATTGTGACGAAAGAATGAACAAAGGGTCCAAAAATATACCGATCCATGGCAATTCGGACATCAACACAACCAGGGATATCAGAGAAAAGTCTGTCAAAGTCGGCATCGGTCATATCGAAGCTCAAGTTTCCAATAAACAATGTCTTTGACGGCTCGTTAAAACCGTTAGCCCCGGTGGTGGGACGATGGACATATTGGACGTTCATTCTGCGTCCCATGAGGACAGCATTATGGGCGTTTTCAATGGCCGATGTGGCTTGTTCAACGGTCTCGAATTCAACGTATCCGAAACTAAGTGAAAACCCTTGTCAGTGCATTTACATCAAGGAGATCAATTAATAGCAATGGTTTGTTATATCTGCAAAATTTACGGGCCCGAGAAGAGAACAAACCCTTTACTCATGTTTCTAGCATCGTAGATAATCTTAACGCTCAGAATCGGGCCAAAGGTCTTGAATTCATCCCGGAGAGCTTCTTCCTTAACATCGAACTGAAGATTTCCAATATAGACGACTTTAGTGGGGGTCAGTTTCCGATCCCCAAAACCCGTCCGGCCAGCACTGTTGTTATTATAACCGCGATTATTGTTCCTAGGAGCATTTCCTTGATTGCCACCATACCCTCCTCCTTGATTACCGTATCCTCCTTGGTTACCGTATCCTCCCCCTTGGCTCTCCCTTCCATATCCAGAGCCATAGTTGGTATTGTAGCGTTGAAGAAGAGACTCAAACGAACGGAGTTCGGACAAGTTGGATGGGCGCGATCTTGTGTTAACAAATGTGCCCGGGGAGAATGCAGAAGCCAATGGACGAGCAATGGCAGACTGGCGCGAAGACCGCAAAGCAGCACGGCTGATAGAAAACCTACCGACAAATTTTCATCAATACTCGTTCATAATGATGGGGAAGTGGGGTGATCATGGTGGGGCAACAAACATTTTCAATTGTAGGTAATTCGGACAAGAGTGATGAAGATATCGAAGAGAAATGGGAAAAAGAAGATAATAATTGAGGGGTAGAGAGAAGATGAGTGAGTGGAGGATTTGGTGGAAGAGTTGCTACTGGTTTTGAGGTTGAGGTGGAATGGAGGGAAGGAGTCTCGAAGGGATTTTTTTTCTCTTCAGAGGCGAAACTTTTTCGGGCCCGCCAAACGACATTAGGATTATCAGATCGCACGAAAAAGCACCGCACTAATACACAGAAACATAATTTCTCCAGTCTTTTATTATCTCCAACCTTCTAGATGCCCTCGGGGGTTTCATTGAGTTGATTTCATGGTTTTCTTTTCATTTTTTCGTTCAATCTTCTCCTGGCTCCGAGGTCACGTGATTATATCATGCGACCAGCGATGTCCGCCGTAGTCCCCAGTACGAGTACGAGTACTCTGACGACACAGAACTCGTATCATAATGAGTCCGGCAAACAAACAAGAACCTCTCCCCTTCACCCTTTCTCTTCTTTCTCTACCCTCCTCAGCCCTAAATTATATCCTCCCTGAGCACATTCCGAACTGTCATTAACCCCCAGCCACAAGGGTTTTTTTTTAAAAATAAAAAAAACATAATTATAATAATATTATTATAATATTATTATTATGATATATCACCCAATTAAACCATTTCCTGCCACCATAACTATTAAAATAACTATACTATTACTCGTAATATTTTTCTTGGGGGTGAAGGAAAGGGGGATCGATCCGCCCCCCTTGTTGAAGCAACCATTGGTTTGCAAGCTATTGTTCCTGGCAGACCAACGACCAATATGCCAAGTGCGGTAGAGGCCCATTTAACTCCTACTCGTACAAACAAATCTACAATATCCATCTCCAACCCACTTGGGATCATTATCATGAAAAAGCACACGGAACTTCATGAACTTCCTCCTAAGAGCAGGAAATTATCATACTGGCTAGTGTGATACCAGTGTTTTGATGAGAACAAACATACAATATCACTCGTTTTATATCCTCGTTAGAGGTCGTTTTGGTAGCGCGACAGGCCAAAGCACACCAAAATTGGGGTTTTTGAGCCAGCACATCTCCATACATGTCTTGAGTATTGGCTTTGGGAAAAATAAAATAGAAGGGGTTGGCACTTCTGATATATAATATATACCCATTTCATGCTTTTGTCTCGAGTTCGGACTGGGGTTTTGGGCACCCGAACTGGGTCTTGACAGAAACCTCGAGGGACAGGACATTCCACTTCTCACTACTCTAAGAAAATGGAAGGAAAAAACCCCGGACTTTTTTATCTAGGTGCCGTTGCAGATTGCTTTTTGAACCTTTTCTGCTATTTGTGCCTGTGGTAGTTGGGAAATGATAGTCCAAGAACCCCCGGTCTTGGTCTGTTTTGGTCTCTGTTACCGTAGGTTACCAAGGAACCTCTACTATGATGTCCCTTTCTCTCTTTTTTTACTACAACTTATTAGAAAGCTCTCCTCAACAGAGCACTATCCACAAATACCTAGCCCCCCCCCCCAATTTGTCTCATGTATCTCCACCACCCCCTGCACCCAACCCAATACCAGGAAGTATATCCCTCTCCTATAGGTATGGACTGACCCCCCTCGATTGATGAATCACAGTTACCTCCAACACCATAACCTTACTTACTGCCCAGAACATTTTCAGAACAAACTTGAGTGGTCCATCCGGCTCTGGTAATCGTTCGGACGGATGGTAAGCTGGTCCAGATGGTGACGAAAGAAGGCCAGCTGCGTGGTAGTTGTAGTTGTTATTCAGACATTTCTAGAGGTGATCACGAATAAATATCTCGTGAGGTGAAGTATACTGCTGACTAGCGTTCACCCCCCTCCCCCATTCCGGGGAACGCATAGTTCACGCATGGGGTGCAGAGTGATGCTCGGAAAATATATCCTTTCTTTAGACATAAACTCGTAGCGGCATGCGTGCTGACACTATATTCCAATATCATACATTGGGACTAATCAATAGTATCTTCTTTCTTCCCCTTCCTGGGTCCTGGGAGAGTGTTACTACTGTGTTATAGCACGGGTGTTAACGAACTTTCGGACAGGTCTGTAGTTTATTGAGCGTACCAAAAGCAATACCGGTGGTACGGTACAAATCAATGCCCAGGTATTCATCATTCTTGTAATTCACAGGATTGAGGTTAGGAGTTACCATAACGTGAAAGCGCGGGATACAGGCTGTAAAGCGTTGAAATATGATGTCAGCTTGGGGTTTCATAAAGGATCACCTGAGAATTCAACTGCACACGACCCGGTTGGTGTGAAGACCGCACATGGTGCAGGAGAATAGCATTGTGGCGATATATTGTAGAGTTGAGTATTTATTTATTAACTCCCGCTGCCCCCCAGCATCCCTTGAATACCCAGATTACAATAGAGTTAAGTAGTTACAGGAGATAATGAACCCCCCCATTGCCTTCCGACTCTCCTGGTAAAATCACACAGTAACCCTAGTGCTGCCCTAGCAATACATATCACCTCCGTTCCTTTGCACGGAGAGTCATATCATTTCAGCAACGACCCAATATCCATCCCTTCCGTGACAAAATATCCCGTCGTGCTCGTTGGCAGGCCTGATCCAGCGGGCACTTGGCCCCCCCCCCCACCTCCCCCTCCTGTCGCATCACCTGGAGCGGTTGATGTGCTAGCTGGTGCCGTGTTTGTTGGGGTGGCGGCGGATGATGGGGAAACTCGGTACGTGCCGTCTGGATTGAGTAGCGGTTGCTGGGGTGGGCCTGGGAGTGCGGTCATCATTGGCCATGCGGGACTTTGGTTTGAATCAAGGTTTATACCTTGCATGAAGTTGTCCCATTCGTTCTTTTGATGAGGTTAGCTGAGGCATGCTATAGAAAGAGGAAGTGGGTGGGGTTACCCAGTCCAGGCCGCTTGGTATATCTACTCCACTCTGCGGCCAAAATTGCGACATGCTTGAACTCTCGCTCGGTGATGCGCCATATTCAGTATTGCTCGCGTCATCCATGATTACGTTGTGGCCTCCCGGTGTCCTGGCGCTGTAGAGCACTGCCGCGGCGGCGTTGGGCGATAGCACACTCTGGCCGACAAGGCCTAAAGACATCGCGGCTGTATCGCTTTTTGCTGGATTGGGAGGTGCTTGAGGTGCTTCTGAAGAGGATGGCGAGGGTGTTGCGAAGACCGGTGTGCCACCAGTGATGGGGGGTATGGAGCCTTGGGGCGTTGGGGCGGCTCCGTTTTTCTCGACGGCTTTGCGTGCCTCGATTGGACATCCGAGTGAGAAGTCGAAGTAGCCGGGGCCCCCACGGATCTTGTCAAGCATCACGGTTAGGACGCCGTAGGCCTTGGTGGCATCTATGCTTGTATCCCGTTGCTTTTCGTAGATGAGTCGGGCTTTTTCGAGAACGTTGTATTGCTCGGCTCTTTCCCTAGCACCTAGCAGGAAGCCTTGTTCCCCTTGAGTTTTACTTCGATCCCTCGCTATCCTGCATTGAGTGCTGAGGTCTAGGCATATTATCATTGCAGCGTGCAAAAAGTCATGACATCCAAGGCCCTCTGTAAACCATCTTGCATGCTTCAGGGTGCTCTGTGTATCCAGTATTATCTCGGCTTGATGTCGTAATAACACTAGAGCAGCCTCCACGCACTTCTGCCGACTCCCCTCATACCGTGGATTATGCTCTGCTCTGGCTGCATATGGCCTGTGCAATGTAGCCAAGGCCTTGTGGGCAATGAGATCTAGGTTGTAGCGCTGGATGATCAGCCATGCCGGATCATCTTTGCATTCTTCCGTAGGTTTCAGTCGCAAAAAGGGAGGGACCGCAGCATGCATTTCTCGAATCTCGGCATCCATCTTGAGAATTTGGTCGTACGCGGGCCTAGGCTCAAGCGAACTGGTCTGAGCCACTATGCGAGAGTACACTTTAGACATAGATGCCTTGGCGATCATGTACGAGACGCCGGTAAGCTCCTCTCTTGGCCTTTCCGGTGGCAGAACATCAACCCCTTCGCCAACCTCATCATCGTGAAGATTCATCGGCAAACGTGTGTCGCATTCCTCCTGCCTTATCATGGATGGTAATCCAATCTTGATTGACTCAAGAACGTCCATACAGCAGATCATTGTCCATATCCTTCTCCGAATTTCCGCCTCGCTGGGTGTGATGGTAGATCCAAATTGCATTGGATCGCGATGAAGCCCCATACACATCGCAATCCGGACCAGTAGACCCTGAAATAGCCATGATTCGTCGACGTGGTCCTTACTAGTCTGCCATGTGCACACTAGAATCAAAGCCTGTACAGTATGAATATACATCTTTTTAGTAAACTCCCCCACAATCAAACACTGCTCAGTTGCTAGCCTAAATGCGTACGACATCTCTTGCGTTTTGCCAGATATTTCAGGAGGCTCTTCCCCTGAATAATGGTAGATTTTCAATGAGAGGCACATTATCGCCATCAAAAGTCCTAACCAAATGAGATCAACCTGAGTCGGATCCCGCCAAAAGTCTTCGTATTGTTTGTAAAATGTGGGCCGGTGAAGGACATCTACATCGAGTAAGCCCTTGAGCCGGAGGAACGAATCCTGTGGGATACATACGAAATATAGGATCATAGTTCCTAAAGAAACCATCTACCAATAGATCAACCAACTCTCGACGTGGCACTAATGACAAAAGCTCTTGTCTGCTGGGAAGTTTTCCAGCGCTAAACGGGAATCCTGTGCGGTCGAGCTTGTTGGGGCCCGCATTCTTGGCCTTCATGTGTGCTAATTTTTCCTCCCAATTTTGTTTTACTTCATTGAAGAAGTTTTTAACTTCAGATATCTGTGAAGCTATTTTGTCAGCCGTAAGCACAGAGAGATGGGCGCCATAATCCATCCCCAAATATCGAATCCAAACACGCTTCTCTCACGAAGCCAATTTGGAAAGCTAGCTTCGCCAGATGAAGCGAATCTAGATTCTGAAGTATGATGGGTTTTCCCAAAAATTATTCGATTGCCAACTCCAAGCGCAAAGAAACAATGAAAAACCCCAACACGTACCTCCGATAAAATTGCTGCCCAGTGGGTTTCACCCCTATAGTAACTCTTTCCCTGGTCCACCTTCATGATTCCCAAGGCACTTCGCACCTCTTCCACATCTTCATCGCTTTCTCCTTCACCCCGACGCTTCTCGTCCCCATGGACACTACCCATTCCGACATCATCATCGTCATCGCAGCACTTGTTCTTATTTGTTCCGTCATCAGTGCTCGCTGATGTTTCCCGGTCCGGTGGCGAAGAAACATGATTGCCACCCGAACCCATCAACCTTAGGACCAGCCCCTCCAGGCGGTCGATTCGTGACTGCATCTCATCTGAGGAAAATCCATTCGACCCAGCTGATTGCTTCCGGGCGCGGCTGGGGCCATTGGGAGTTGACGCGTAAGTACAGGTCGAGGGGTCTCCACGGCGAGTACAATTTTCACAGGGGTGTGAGCGATTACATTTCAATCTATATCTATGTTATTGATATCCGATCCACCGCGAGCAAACCACGAGAAAAGAGGGGGGAAAAGCGGAATCCCGCTTCTTAGAAGAAAGAAATATACCAGTGCTTACTTTCTATTACGACAGGGAGCGCATGAGAGGGGTACACGATTGCGCTTCTTGACAACCCTAAACTCCTTTGAGCTTTGAGTGTTAGCATCCTGAGGAGAGTGACCACTAGAGGAAGGTGGTGTCGGCGCCATGATCAAGTTTGGAAAATCTCAGGACTTTCCGATGTCGGTATTGTTTGCTTTCCTCCGTATATGGGGGGGAAATGTTGAGACGGGGTCAGGTGAAGGGGTTTGATGGAGATATCTCGGTGGAAATAAAGTTGGGAGCGGGGTTTCGGGGGTTGATATAGCTATACGCGGCTTCCTAGGGGTTGGAAGGCGTAATACAGATTGTGCGATAGAGAAGGCTTTGGGACCAGTACGGACAGGGCAGTGCAAGGTGTTACAGAAACCGATATTTAATAATCAGAGTTCGATTTCCTCATTATGCGAGACTGTTGTCACACGTCAGTGCCGTGTCGCAATGGCAAGGTGAGAGGTGAGAGGTGAGAGGGAGAGGGAGAAATCTCAAGGGAAAAAGGGTTTGGGGGAAAGCAAGAGATGGAAGCGCCGCATTACAGAGAAGAGCTAAGAACATACTGCACCGTTCCTGGTTGGAGATGAGGAGCTACAATAATGGGTTGCATGCTGCGTGCGGTGATATACCCTGGACAGTAGTAAGGGTAAACCCAGATGCTCAATAATCTTTTGAGAGCAACGAGTTTTTTAAAATATCGGTATTGGGGAGGATTGGGGTACTCGAGCAGTACCGGTAAAGGTTTCTCCCCCCTTTCTTTCTTCTCTGGGCCAATTTTGCAGATAGAAGCTTTAAGATCCCAACCAGCTTAGACAAGTCGGCGGTGGTGTGGCTAGAGCAGGAGGAGGTTATCGTTGCCCATATAATGTCCGGCAAGAACTTATGGAACAGTTACTTGGGGTTAACCGGCCAAAAATACAGGCCTGTCCTTTCCGATTAATGGATTCCTGCCCTTGCATCACGATATGATTCCTCCTCGCCGCTCCTGTTCGTTCTCGGGGCCGTTCATTGGCTATTCTAACAATTCCAGAATTCCATATCCGGAAAATAGCCCCACATTGGTTGGATAAAACATCCTTTTCACAGATTGGGGATGATTGTACCTATACCACTTTATCATACCTTGGCCGCTTCGCATAAGTTCCCTGAGTGAATAACTCGCGTTAAAGGCTTGAGTTTCGACTCCCTTCTCGGTGTCATACAGCAACCACTTCTGAGTCACTCACCTTATGATACATGTGAGCTACCGGTATGATACTGGTATTCCCTGATTTTAATGATTACCGTAGGGTTGTTCCTAGAGGTCTGAGAGTGGCCCTGTTCCCTGTAGAACATTTGCTGGTACTTTCTGCCCCCTTCACGCGTGCCTTTCACTAGAAACAAGCTCCGAATTCATGCCAACCAACCAGCCCGTGAGCTGGACCTTTGACCTGGGAATTCCGGGGACGGGCTGCAGATATCGGCGCCATAAAAACCCTTGCGTTTCGCTATCTCCGTCTCCGCAGGATAGGATTAGTATGACAGGTTAGCGGAATTGCGTACACAATCGTGTATAAGTGCCAAGGGAGATGTTTTCGCATTTTGCGGGCGAGCCTAAATTGACTTTTCACCAACTTTATCGGGGGAACTGTACTCGTACTGCCGGTAATACTTATACCAGTTAATGAGATCCAACATGTCCTGAAGGCTGATTTATGTCATACAGTGATGGGAAAGCACTAACCCTTCCCAAGACCTTTTGTCTCTGGATCCGAATTACATGGGTTTTTACGGTACAGTACTCTACTATTTCTTAGGGAGTTCCCCACCAATTTTTGACTCACAGAATACACCTTTGAAAGTGCCAGGGGATATGTTTTTTTGCGCAAGAAGGGATTATTTTGCTGACCAACTTAAATTAACTGTTCACTGCAGCTGCAGAAACACAAAAAAACATATGATACCAGTATCATGCTCGAGTAGATGATTTTAGCCAAACTGGGACCAGTGTGATGTCTCATCCAAAAATGTGTGCCCTAACCCACTTTTGCCTATTGCAGGTATCATAACCGTTATGATACTTGAGGCTCTCATACAAAATGCCCTGACTTCGAACCCAAAAATCAGTCTTCCGATTTATATTTCCAGAAATTGAAATGATAGATCGATGTATGATAGCAGGTGTCTAGCCATATTTCTCTGATCTTAGAAGAAAGGAAAAAACTTTCCCATTGGTAGTGACCATTTAACCTGAAATTTGACGATTGTCATTCCCCATCATGAGGAGGTTTATCGCGTTTGGAACCACGATGCTTCCCCGCTAGTATCCAGAGATATCTAGCATCGAGAGCAGAGAGGAATCTAAACGTCTGACTTAACCACCTATTCCACGCATACAAGAGTTTGTGATCAGAGCAAAAGGTGGAGATACTGGCGGTCTGTTTGGAGGGGCACCAAAAATTGCGGTAGATAGATGAAGGTACGGTACGAATGTCCCCCCCATACGGGCTGCACGACATGATACCAGTATGAATAATGGGGCCCTCCGATTCACAGTGTAGCATTGGGGCGATTGATGGTATCAAATCCTCTAAACCATCACTAATCGTTGTGTTTGTTCACAGGTGTCATACTCGAGCACCGGTATCATAACACAGTTTACGATAGGCATAAGAGCGGGTGCAACCCAGGTTACGGCCCGCCATACGGTATTTCGTCTTATCATATCTGGGTTTGGTGGAGGGGTAAGGCCAGATCTACCGCGAACCCCCCAATTTCCTCGCACCAATGTGATGCCAGTATTTTTCGCCGTAATAAACTTCCCCTGTCGCTCTGTGGCAGGCGGTGGCTTGGCGATTGATGCGGTCCCGGAGGTACGGACTGCCTCTTTATGATTGTTTAGCGTCACGTTCAACCCACACCTTTACCACCGTTACAGTACCGTCACTTTTCCGGTATCGGTATCAGGCCGGTACTGTCACGCTGTCACGGCATCACTGCATATCTCACCGCGCGCCGGCAGGTGTCAGATCGAGTAGCCTACGCATCGCTTTCCCATCGGGCGTTTTGTAAATCCAGGCCATTTTGTATCAGATCTCAGCATCGATCAAGACCGAAGCACCTTGTACCAGTACAAGTACCGGTATCCGAGTGCCGTGCTCATTTCGATCGAGTTTTGGGGGATTTGAAAAAAATCTGATATAACACCATAAGAAGCTAGCGCGGTATTAAGTGATTGCACGAGTAGATATGGGCCCTGGTCTTCCGATCACCCACGGAGTTTGATTTAGCACAGGATCCTGATAATCAAGTTTGACACTGGCAAAGTTTGGCATACGTGAAATTACTTACTCGTGCAAACAACTCCCCCTACTCAACCTAAATTGGATGCGGGGTAGTCTAGAGGATGCATATTTGTGGAGCATGGCTAGGGCCTCAATATTCTCCAAAGCACCTTACGGTGTGCGCACAATTGGAACGCTAGACTTAGAGCGCAGCTTCCTTTGTCTACAGACATGCTTTTCCCGAACCTTAACCCAGAATTCTAGTTGAAGCCGTGATCACACTATAACACTTTATTTGTCTGCTTAGAAGGCGTTATTAGATCATGCTTTACAAAGACGATGCAATGCCGACATATACGAAGTATGCAACATATGAGTACAAGAGCTTGCGGTTTGTTGAAAGCTACCCAGAAGCCACGGGATAACCACTAATCCTATCTCGCCGGAACCTACATGTAAATGCGGGGATGTTTCATAACTTTCTTTATTGTTGCGTGATAGGTGGTGTCATATTCGAGGGCGCCGATCTAGGAACACAGAGACTAGCAGATCTCCCAATTCCTTATCTATGATCTCTATTAGCACGGAGCAGAATTGACAGGTTTTCTATGCATTCCCCCGTGAGGTGTGAGCCCGTGCAAACACAAAATGCTCCTATCTCTCTAAAACCCCACCTTGCGCCTTACTAGTAACGGGGGATAATCAGGAAAAGAGTTGGCTGCTTTAACGAGGCAGAGTATTAAAGAGGGTCGTAAGGATCCCAGTTACGTGGGGGGAAGGTCTGCGCCCAATTTTTTCTCTGGTTCAAATTGTGGTGAGTTGGATATGTTAACTTCCGAGGCCGTCAATTCTACAGCTAATGCTGAAGGTTTCGGGGCACGGTCCAGGAAAACTACTAAGACGGAGTTAATGACATAGACAACTCGGGGGATGGGCATCTCTGATAAATTACTGTAGGCTGTTGGCAGAGATATATATCGATGGGTCAGTTGATACTCACGGGAGACCTGTTGTGATTACGCTACAGTAGGTTGTTGTAATATCGAGTGATATATTGTGAAGCAGAACCCGTGCTAATCTACGAGCCAAATCCTACGATGGCAAAAAAACGGCAATACAAGACGCTCTTAATCCGCACGGAGCCCCTCTAAGGGGAGTTCGTGTCTTTCCATCTTGAAAAATCCTCATTGGACTAGGTAGGCCCTCAGAGCCAAGAGCTGCAAGTCGCCTCAAAATCCATCAATCAAGGTTCAATTCCTTTGGCTATCCAAAGTGTTTCATCCATATCTATCATAGCATCATTTCTCTTCTCATCTCATCTTTAACCGAACTGTGGTACCAAATCACTCTGGGTTTCTGGGCTTTTCCCGTTTCTATCATGTGCATAAGGGTGCTCGATTAGAGTGGTCTAGATCTCTGCTTGGACAGCGGATTGGGCTGCAAGCCAAGAAATGTTGGCATCTCCTGTTTCCCCAGATATTTTGACCACTCAGGTCGGGGTCGAAAGAATTACTTTCGGCCCGATTGGCCTCGGATCACGGTTGAAGACCTTGGGGGCAGGGGCGGGGTTCTCGTAAACGGCCTCGGGGCATTGTGGGGGAAGGAAGATCCCCCCCCGTTCGGGCTGCCTACCCTACAGCTTGCAGCATGCGCCCTTCAGAGCTTTTGGTTTCATACAATATTCCCTTGGGTTTCCTTCCCATCCCGGACCCTCGACTTGGACGGTATTTATAGTATTGATGGGGGAAAAAACACCTAATGACCGGTCCGAGCCCCGGGATGCAGGGATATTTCGGGGCAAGGAAATCCAATCCCGAGATACATCTGGGCTCATGCCCCACCGTAGGTCTCCTTATTCGAGTACTATGTCCCCCGGCTGATTCGATCGAGCCCGGGCTAGCATGTGCGCCATTAGCAGGATAGGGGTGGGCTGGGTTAACCATGTTCACACGCCGCGTGGAAAAAGCACTGATTCCTCAACTTCCCACGATTCCCAAAACTTGGTAGCAACCCCTTTTGTGAAGCACTTGAGGGCGGAGGCTTGAGGGGAAATTTTTTCCATTGGCATACTGTAGACGTGCTGTTTTGGCGTTGGATATGAGTAGCCACTCCTATATCTGTTGCCGCCGGGATTTTTTTTTCCCTTTTCCCCCTTCCTCGTCAGTGGTTTGGCTTACTCGTACTGTGCGGTCACTGGGCTTGTTATGACTTTCGGGCGGAATATGGCAGTCGTTGACGTTATGATGGCAACATTGGTTAACTTGAGTATGATATCGCATTCCGTTTTTACACTACGTTGGCGGACTTGGTGGTTACTGCAACTGATTAGGCCCCTAACCCTAATTTGTGTGCTGGCAGCACCACAGCAACAGATCACGATTTCCATTCCAATCGCTCAGACAACCTCGGAAGTGGATGAGCCGCCAATTAGTCTGTTCTAAATAAAATAATATCAGCCTTGACCAGGACTTATGCGATCATATACCTAATTGGGCTTGTATAGGGCGAAAGAGGAAAGCACCGAGATTCAAGAAACCTGTTTCTGACATTGCGCAAAAAACGGGTCTCCAGACAAAGTCGCAGTTCACGGGCAAAAAAATAAGGGCAACGCTGGTAGTTCTCTCATAATGAATCATACGTCAGCATTCGAACAGCTCGTTGATGCAAGTTCTGGGGCCCAATGGTTAATGATACCACCTCCGGGAGTATTCGGATTATTTTATTCGGGCCTGGGACAGTGCTCCTGCATTCGGATAAGAATTTACGATTGGTGAACGTTTCGTTCAATGTTCGAACTGCGGGCAGAGGATGCTTGAGCTCCGAGCCCCTCGAGCTTTTTTTGACTGGGGGGAACTTGCATACACCATGTGTATTATTTATTACAACTGTTATTATTTTATTCAGTCGAAACAAACGGCTAAAGTAAGTTGGGTGAAGCATCTCACAAGAAGGTGATTCGGGTACTATATTTTATTAAAATTTTAAACGGAAATAATTTTCCGTCTTATCTTCGATCATTCACAGAGTTCTGGGTTCAATTCTAGGGTTTATGATCTAGAACTAGGTCGCTATCGTCGCCTAGTCTCGATAGAAGTATAGGTCTGCATTTCCGGTTTTTTCGATGCCTTTGAGCGGTTTGTCCTCGTTGGCTGATCTCGAGCAGTTGGCTGTTATGAATTCCCACTCGAACACCAGGGGTGTGGTGGGGAGTAGGAAACCCGAACCTCCAAAGCAGTAACAACGCAGACTATTCTGACTACTCAGCGAAATTCCGGGATAACTATTCGCGGATTATTGCGATAGCCCCTTTTTTTCTTTTCCCTATCTGCTCAAGGCGTTCTCCCATAGTCTTTCTCAGCCCCCACTAGGTCTCGATCACTATTCGTACCCTTTTTTTCCGGGTCGTGCTCATGGATTCTGGCCTTCTGCATGTTTCCCACAGGCTATCGCCTTTCAGTTTGCTTCACATGTTTTACGAATATCAAACCGCTAGTTTGCGGACTGCATACTCGAGTAGTGGTAGCGGAAGGGGTGCGACTGTCTCGATAAGCCTCCAATAGCTGTGAAACGTGTGGATTTGCGCAGTGGCACTCGTAGAGGGGTTAAAAGGAATCTTTTCCTCCTCCTCCTCCTCCAATATATGAACCTTTGCCGTGCTTCTTCTCATTTTACCTGTGGCAATCCGCATGAGGGAGATACATCGTTCCTATTAACACAATTCCCAAGAATAATTCCCGTTATATTTCGGATCCCCCACCTTACCTTCTAAAAACTCTACTTCCCTCTGTCATCTAGTGATTCTGGCCCATCTCATCTAAATTTGTTTCGAGCTCGTTTTCCTTGTGTATGGTTTCATACACTTTGTGATGTCTGCTACTCTCCAGTACCAGCCTTTGCAAGACCTTAGGCGGTATGTATCTTTGCTGGATATGCACCCAGTAGATCCAGAAACTGTGAGTTTGCTTTCCGCTCCTTTGCGCATCCTGGTTAGAACTACTCAGATCGAGTGTTTTTTATATGGCCAATCACTGACGTGTTATGATAGGAGACAGATATTTCATTGCAAGCCATGGTACCCGGTCAACTATATGGACGCTGGGATAAGAGTGAAACGTTTCGGCTACCTCGTTCATTATGGAGTCCTCTCAGTAAGGCCGTGGGTGGTGCATGCCGTTCAGTAGCGTCTTCGAAAGAAGTAGACCCCAAAGACTCAATATCCCACTCGAAAGAAACTGTTCCGGACCCAACAAGAGTGCCCATCCCCATCAGTGATGTCTCTGGAACTGGCGTCCCACGCAGCATCCTGCCACATCCAGGGCTCAGAGGCATTCGGGAGGAAACTATAATTTCTCCAGGTAGCGTAGCAGAAGCAGTATCTTCGGCTTATCAATACCAAGCCAGGTTGGTTTCTGCTGACTCGTTCCCATTACTGAAGAAGACCGCTTCTATCCGTTCCGCTCTCGGGAACGGACCGGAGTTGGGCTCACGAAGGGGGGCGCAGTATGGCTCGGCCTCAGATCATTTCATGTCCCCAAAGCTACCTATCGGGTCGCCGTTAACCCCCCCAAAGGGACAGCAGGTGGGCCTTATACAGCAATACATACCAACCAGACAATACACTTCCCGCACTTGGAATTCCTTGGCGCCTACGAAGCAGCATGATAGGATTGATCTAGACCCTCTGTACCATTTCACTATCAGCAAGTGCTTTGAATGTTTTCAAGCCTCGCCGTCAAAACTCAGGGACAACTTCACCGCCGGAAACAGTAGTACTGCCACTTCGTCGCCGGGACTCCTAGCCAATATGCCATGGGTATTTACTATGTTCGGCAGAGCCTCGGCTTTTCACACGTCTTCCCCATTGAAGACCGAGACTTCGGCTCCTATAGGTGGTCCTGGTATTGAGGCTCTCATCCACCCACGCCACCTTGCCTATTTCCATCAGTTCTTAACGAAGTCTGTGCTAAAGGGTATTGAAGGCTTACCTGAGGCCAAGGGGACTGCATGCGAGATTGTAAAAGGTATAAATACTTCTTCTACATCGATGCCGTTAGATAATTAGCTAAGACATTTATTAGATGGCGTCGCATTGGAAGAAGATAACGACGGCGAGCATAAAATCGCGGACCTTGAGCCAAATGTTGAACTTGACATGCATAATCGACCTATTTCCGCTCATTGTCGAAGGGGATCAACTGTTGCTACACGCATGATGGAAGAGTCAGACACCGCCGAATTGATTGAGGTGTTGGCCTCGACTTTTCATGAGAATGATAATCGTGTAACTGAACTTGGCCAAGATACTGAGGAGTGTGAAGTCGCTGAGACGGTGAGTAACCGTAACAGGAGACCCAAAATTAATTAACACCTTGACTAATTTCTTCCGTACGTTTTTAGGCACCATCAGGCCATCGCAGGACCAATTCACTCCGATATGCTGTTCGCCAGAGGGCTTCATTGTTCAAGCCAACCTCAGTAAAAAGTGATTTCACATTCGTCACTGAAGTAACTGCCAGCCCACCAGTGAAGCGCAAGCAGGATGATAATACTGAAAAGGCATCACGCAAACGGACCAGAGATAACTCAGTAGAATACAGCATCGCTAGCCCTAGGAACTCTATCGCATCAAGACTCAGCATCCTCATCGACAACGCGGAACAAAGGCAGGCTAAATTGAACTCTCCGGGACGGGAATTGATTCTATCTCCTATCAATACGCAATGTGTTCAAGTCACCGAACATCTAATCACCGAACCATTCTTGTCAAACTCAATCCCGGATTCCCCAGTTACGCCTACATCTTTTACTGAATCTACCGCTCGATCGTCTACACATTCAGTGAGCTCTGCCGGTACAAGTCTCACGGTCCCATACTCCCATGCTTCGCCATCGGCGTCCAGCGCACTACTCACTAAAAAGGCTTGGGAAGAGGAACAACTACGGGGTCGCCAGTCAGCAAGGGGCCAGAACGAGAGCAGGTTTCCTTGCGCCCCCGGCTCCGGCTTGGGACGGAGTCGCTCCACCGGTGGCATCGATTCAGAACGCCCAACCGAATACTCCGTTGAGCTAACCCGCCGAAGGAGCCTGAGCACGAATTCAATGTTGGAGAAGTACGCACCAATGTTCCAACAACCCACCGTCACCTCTGCTCCCGAGTCGCAGAACCTCGAAATTGGAGAAACTCCCAGTTCCTCAGGATCGTCTAGCTTCGTCGAGCCAACAGAACTCGAAGATTCGCTCATTTCTTCTCCACCAACACAACCTCAAGCCACTCTTTTGGTCCCGGAGATCAAGCCAGAAGATACAAAGAAGGACGCGGCGCAAAAGAAGGGCCCTAGAAGAATCTCTTACCTCGGCCAACTAAAATCGCACAAATCCTTCACTGCGAAAGTGACGGAGCCATCGACCACTGTAGTGGTATCCGAAACAGAAGACGGCGCTAACAAGAAGAAGAAATTCCAAAAATTGAAAAACAGAGTTAAGGGAATTACCAGAAAGGTCAGCGGCGTGATGAAGGGAGAAAAGTACTGAGGGGAAGCAAAAAGGTTTTATCTCGATATGCATTTTTTGGAGTTTTATTTTTTTATTTTTTTGCCATTCCACAACAGGTAGATCAAAAAATCGCTTAAAGGAGTTCATTCCTTTCTCTCCTCATCATCATTTTCATATTTCGGCGTTTTTTCCTTTATTTTTCTCTCCTATGATACTTTTCCAATCATTGGCGGTTGTACATTTGCATACGATATTGGGACGGCGTTTTCACTTGTTTATTTACTCCTCTCTTTCCATTCTTTCCATTCCCTCTATCTCACCATTTTCCTATCCGACAGGATAGGGGAGGGCTGGACAAGGCAAAGAGGAGAGGAGGGAGAAAAAGAAAAGAAAAAGAAACCAACATTTTTGCAGTGAAAATTGTAGCATAAGACGGACAACAGGACCGTCCTCTTCAATGTTCTCTTTCTTTCTTTCTTTCTTTTTCTTTTTCATTTTCCCCCACTTTTTCCAAGACATTCTTGACTTCCTCTCCACTCCATCATCGTTCTTCATCTAAATTGCATTTCAAAGGGCGGCATTGGTTCATTTCATTTTCATTATATCATATCACATTAAAGGGCTGGGAGTTTGCATATATATTCATTGTTATAACTTATTCGCTCACCATCATCATAGCACAACATAACAATTGCATGAGAATATATTATTATCACACTCATAATCATGAAAAAGCGAATGAAATGGGAATGGGAAAATTCACTATGATATTATGAAACTGCCAGTTCAAGTCCCCGTGAACGTTGGCCTCTTCGCCGCACGGTATAACTACGTGCCCACCTATTTATTCACTTGTTGTTGGTGAGGTGGGCCCGGTGCGGGGTATAACCCAACCAATCGGATACATCTGATAAAAACGGTAGGAGAGGGAAAAAAAAAAAGAAAGGTACATATCATACTGTTGTGCTTTACGCTGCTTTAACCTTAACCTTAGCACTGTTCATTCCTTCCTTCCTTCCTTCTCCCTCGCTTTCTGCACTCGAGAACTCGCAGCGTTGGGAAGCCCGGCTGTAAGACACAGAGTTATTTACCGGCATGATATGGATGGTGCGGAGCGGCTGGACTTTGTTTATCCCACCTGAGAACAGGAGGGGGGATTGGTGGGGGATAAGCATTAAGGTGGCGAGGGGTACTCGAGTAGGTGGTACAGCGCTCACCACATTGCAGTGCCGGTATCTATGTGGTGGGGTGGATGAATGCGTTTCTCCTCTACCGGGTGAGGGATTCGAGTGAGGGGTTGTGATGTGTGGATCCATTGGTGGGGATTCAAAAAAGATTTCTTGAGAACTGGTTGGTAATATGGGAGAATGGGGATATAGCACTTTGTGTGCTAGAGTGAGGGGCGGGAGTGATCCTCTGTGAGGTAGGTGGGTAGGTTAGCCTAGCGTGAAAGCAGTGTTCGCCATTTGGGGGGGGGGGTCGATCAAGTTCGCCTCTTGGAAGGGGGATAGTGCGGGTATCACTCTGGCGGGAGTCTTTTGTGGGGGCGTTTGCATGGCCACTATCGCTATTACCCCTATGAGCCGAGCCTCAGTCACAGCGGGGAGCTCAATAATGTCAGAAGTGGGAAAAGTCAGAACTTCACCGGGATGAGCATCGGAAAAATCCTCAGAGAGAAAGAGACAAAAAACTGTGTATACACTTTTGAAGACATTTCGTGCTCGTCATCCCCGCCACACCCACTCGAGTATTATAATACTACTGCACAGTTGCGGTAGACTACTGTACTATACATAAAAAGCTTTTCCTCAGCCCGTGAAAAAAACTCGCCAGTTCCACTGCAAAAAGCCTCGCAAGAAAAAGAAAAAAAAGAAAAAAAACTACACCCACAGAAACCTGGGGTAAAAGTAGTCAAACTTCCGATCAAAACACTAATATCGAGAGCCCCCCTCCTCACTCGGGCACTAACAGGTATCATATCATACCCAAACCGTCGAATAAAAAATAAAAATAAAAAAGTACTCAAGGCCGGGGGAGTCGCCCTTTCCGCTGTGGGCAAACTGGTAACTTTTCACCCTCCGTAAGAGCTTATTTCAGGATTCGCCATGGATATTTGAGCCGAGTTGGGTTGGGAAACAAGGGGGACCCGTCAGGAAGGTCCATCATAGTCTACCTGTGGAAGCCTTCATTACGTTCCGAGCCGGCCCCGCGCACGTGGTGACGTCGATGTCTTACGGGAAACGCTGGCACAAGCCCAGCGTTATGGGATCGGTTGTTGGCCGATATATCGATGGGGGAGGGATGGAGTTTCGTGGCGGTTCTTATGCGGTGAGTTGTGGAGAAATTTGGGGGAGTTTCAGGGATGTCTTTCACCGAAGGTTGAGGGAACTGAGCTGCGCTGCGATACGACGAAGCGAGCCCACCGTATAGAGAATTCCTATATAAATAACCCCTGCACTGTAATTACTCTATGGGAATACCCGCTTCGCTGTGTTCTCGCTTCGCTGTGGGTTACTGTAGCATTGCGGTTGGGTGGAGGGGTCTGTGTAATCATGCGGTATCACTCGATCGGTTTTGTATCATATGTATGATGCTGAAACATGGAAAACTAAAACCCAAGCTCTCAAAGATCTGGTCAGATCTGCCACACTCATCCCCCGCCCCCATACCCGCCCCACCAACCCCCCACGTACCCACGATGACGTGCAGCTAGAAGGCCAAGCGGGGGGAGCAGAAGGAGTTGAAAAAAAACCAAAATAGGATAAAAGCAGAGCCAGCAGATGTCTACGACAGTGGGGGATGTTCGCACGGGGAGTGTTAGGTGGTATCACAACATTATCATATCGGATCGGCAGTACGGTTCCTTGATCGCCGCCCGGCTGAGGTGTAAAAGGGCTTGAGATTGAACCTGGAACTGAGGGGGTCTTGAATCCCAATTTCAGCCATACTTTTTTATTCCTCCTTAAAGTGGTTTCAAGATACTCGGGAATTGCCCACTCTATAATCTCCCAAGAGGACCCGGTTTAGCGAGAGCGACCTTCTTCGGGGGTTCCTCGAAGTTTGATACGAACGACAACCTCTGGCAACAATATTTCTAACTCCCACTTATGTCAGATTGCGCGAACCCTCTATTACTCTTTCTTCCTTGCTGGGAGTAGATCCCCATTGCCCAGCGAATAAGATGGCAATACTAGGAAGGCTGGCGGAATGCAAGCGTGGAAGATGGGAGATGTTATGGATAAAACAGCTGAATGAAAAAAAAAAAAGACAACTACAATGAGTAAATGTCTATCTATGGGAGTAAGCGCCGGTGCTCCGTCTCTCGAGGGGGGACTTGCTAGTAGTGGTATTGCAGAATCGTTTTCGATGTTGTGAGGTATCCGACAGCGAATGGGGCTTCATATCCATGCGAAGGTATTATATATTGGCTACCAAAGGACCACCATTAGGGTGAGTGGAGGGCACGTGTGGAGGAGTAGAACCACAGACTGGGGAAGCATAGAATAAAAGTCTAATTTGCACCCAGTGAACCAACTCCTTTTTTCGGGCAAGCGAATTAATTCTGTTCATCGGATCAGCATAACGTTCCGCCCCCTATCCGAGTACGCTGCGCTCGGAATGGGGGAAACTTCACTCACCGATCTCTGCTTCTCGCAAAACTGTCACCCGGACCAGAAATCTAAAAACGAGTAAAACATGCCTCTATCATCCAAGCCTACAACCGTTGATCTTAGTTTCAAAGCCCCAGCACCGAGTCCAGGTGTCAACCGCACTGGGGTTCCACGAGCCGTCCGCCAACCCATGATGGGCAGACGATAGCCGAATCCGTATCAAGACCATGGTCTAAAGTATCCTTCCTACCATATCGGGCACCCGTGAGGTTTGGGGTTCTAGAAAGGGTTTCGGTGTATTAGTTTATCGCAGCTGGAAAATTGAAACCCATAATTAATGTATGATATTGCTTTTGCCTAAATAACTTTCAACCGTTGCAGCTCCCCCCCGAAGTGCTGGCGTCGTCCCCCCTAACTCTGGTGCTTTTTGACCCCTGCCAGCCTAATTTATGACGCAAAATGTACAGTATTTTGGCATCAACGGCTATTAGAGCTCAGTAACTAAAGAGGCTATATATGATAAATATCGAAACATTCTGCTTGTGCTCGTACACTTAGTTCTATGCACTCGAATACTGCACGGCCGCTTACAGGGACTCGGGTGGATCCAGAGAAAAGGGTAAAGGGCAGTCATTATGTCATATGGCAGTGATATTCCACAGATTATTTGAATAGGAGTAAGTTCGAGCCATCCTAACGGCGGGAGGAACACACGAACACCCCAAAGATGATTTCATTGCGCCGCACAAAAAAAAAAAGGAGGGGATTTTGACCCTTCTAACATCTATCGGATCTATCAGATAAAAGATATTATTAATTAAGAGAGGCAAAAGAGTTCAGCAACCGGGATTCCCACATGGTCACCCACTGTAGTACTAACCGGTCGATACGATGCTTGTTTACAGCAGAGCGGACGGGATGCGAAATTTTCATCGTTCTGTGGCCGAACACATCAAATGTGTTCGTGCCAGGTATTTAACGGGATAGCCGAGAAGCAACGGGCTCACCTCGAAGAAGAGTTGGCAACCATCTGAGCGTGGTTTGAGGTGTTCTTTTTGGAGGACCTCCTCCGGAGCCCCAGTGTTCCCAAGGGAGCCTGTAATTCGAAGCCTTGGTAACGGGCATGAACTGAGCTGTAAACCAAAAGCGATCGATGGTTGCCCCATCCGACTCTGCCCAAAACAGATGTATCCCCCCTTCTTTTAGCTCTTGAAGCGGAGCGGGACACAAGAGAAGGCTCCCTAGGAGGGTAGTAAGCGAATAACAGGGTACTGATATGGAGGTAGACAAGATATAACATTCTGGCGCCCATCGTGCCGAGTATGTTATTTCTTACACCCCGCCTGGTATCTGAAATCTCAACTCGCCTTTCGAAATTTCCTCCGCAATTGGTCCCCCGGTCACTCGCCGCTTGTTCTAGCTGATGATTTAATATTTTCCAAGAATCCGGAGCAGCGAGGAGCAAGTGTCGAGATTTCCTTCCTCTTCTCTGTGGCATCGTTTTAGCTTATGCAGGAAGAAGGACAGTCATGTAAATTCTCGGCTCAATCTTAATCAATGGGTGTAACTTCTCTGCCCGAGTGGCGTCGTTAGTCCTCAATATAATAATATATTATCAAAAAAAAAAAAAAAAAAAAAGTACCCCAAAATTCCTCTGCTCTACTAATAGTAGGCCAGGTCCAATCGCCCCCTCTTCTTGCTCTGCACATGACATTACACTGCAGTACTACCCGCAGCTTCGAATTTTCACTCCCTTCCCTACAGCTATTCCACATCTCCTTTCC